ATGGTTTTATACTGGAATTAACCACATAACTAATTTTGTTTTACCACCTTGACGCCTTCAGTTACATAGAGCTTCTGTCAATGCCCAACCGATAATGAACAAGTACAATTTTATAGATGGTTCAAGTGAAGTTGTGCAAAGTGAATCAATTCTGCAAGATACCATGCCATACATTTTTCCTTGGTAGCATTAACATGTATAGATCATTTTATTGTGTACAACAAAGTCAACAATACATGTTTGTATAACCATGGCTTTGGTCAATTTCTGCCATCGAGCTTCTGCGAAAATGTGACCAGGAACTAATTATGTCGTAATTCAGTATAGAACCTGACACTAAATAATACTCCCTTCGTTCACTAATGTAAGACCTTTTAGCTTTTTCTTGATCGGTTTCTCTTCTTCAGTTGTTGGCTGCCCGTGCAACAATTTTTCTTGAACCAAGTACTTTGCACTATATTTTGAACTTTCTAATTTTGTTCCGTGACATGTTTTTGCAGCCTTCCATTCAAAATTAGATCTGGAGGCCTTCGGATAGCAATAAATTTTACCTTTGTTTGTTCATGCTTCATGAATTTGTTTTCCAACTGATTATTTGTTGTTGCAAATTTCAGATTTTGACAGGTTTGGGTCCATCTATAACATGCTTGACCGGGCGATCACGTGGCTATCGAGCACTCTTATTTTCTGGTCATAAGCTCTTACTAAGGTCTGGTCTCCCACAGCTCCCCTGCACAAAAACATTTAACCAATTTTTTTGTGTGTGCAATCGTTTGAGTTTTTTTTCTTTAGTGGTAAAAAAGAAGTGCAAGTGTTAGGTCAACATAGTATAGAAGGGAAAGTGTCCGCTCGCTCCCTACGGTTCCAAGCACAATTCCAGATTGTTGGCAAAAAAGTAGAGTTCCAGTTGCATGCTCAAGTGTGTGATTGTTGTTATTCATGTAGACAAAGGAACTGATAGTGAAGATTCAATTGCTCGGAGAGCAAATCATGAACCGCGAGCAGAATATTCTCTAACTGAAATATATTTTGTGGTTTGTGTGTGTATCCTGGCCACTTGATTATTGAGTAATGCCGTTTGTCTTCCCATTAGATTTCTCATATTAAGCTACTAATTAATTTTGATAATTCCTTTTATTTTACAACGCTATTGCATATGTTTTCCTATGGAAAATAAACTAGAGTGAATTAACGATTTGTGTTTATTTAGATGTTGTCGGTCGGGTGTCCTCTACTACTGAAGTTTTACCACGATCTGGTGGTGCTTGAGAGCAGAGACGACATACTTTCATCAGCAGTGGCCAAACCCCCACCGCCGCCGGTGCTGTACACCCCTGTACCCCTCGACATCCAGTGCCTCGCGTCTGCCCAACATGAAAACCTCCTCAATAGGTACATCTCTGAATTTTGCCCTTGCTAGAGAAAGTCGAGCATTGTTTTGCCGTAGCTATAATTTGAGTTTAGAAAGTATACTACTCTCTTTTTGACGTCAATTTTTTCAATTGATTTTGCTCCAGGATAGTGCCCTTTATGTGCATGAACTAATGGGTGTGTTCACAACATAGAGCAGCTTCTCCATCCAGTCTCATGTCTTTCTCTTTAGCAGGGATCAGTGAGTACTACCGAGCAAAAAAGTCCTTCTCTTCGTCATATTTCTTCCTTTTCCTTACTACTTTTGTGGCTCCAAATCTCTTGATGGCTCTATGTCTGTTCTTTTTGTTGACATGGATTTTACCCTGAAAGTTTTTCTTCTGATCTACAATGTTCTGCCATCTAAATTTTTCTGTATATTATGAATGAGTAGACACTGGTGCAGAAGCCCAATTGGATGAAATTACGGACTACAGAGAGGTGTAATTATTAATTAATTCATTTCTTTAAAAGATATGCAACTAGCAGAGTTTCTTACTTCTATGATTTGGATTATGACCGAATTGAAGAACTTATGTGGACAGCCCGGCAGATTTCAGTGGCAAGACTTTTGTACAATTACAGTGGCAGATTTCAGAAATTTGTAGAGCACATGATTTACAAGAACAAGATATTCTGTCAAGGTCTGTACTTTTTATCCATTGCACTAATCTTTTGCTTTGAGTGATTGGCTAAAAAAAGTACTTCCTTTGGAATAATCTATCGTGCACTCACAAGTATAATCTCTCCATTTCCTTATTTTTTGTTCTTCCGTCAGTAGCTACTATTTGCCGGTGGGTAAATCACTCATGGTATTTTAATGAGGTTCATTCTAGCTGTTTGCTCACGAGAACAGAAACATTTTATCTGTTGGCTAAATGAAAGTACATTCTTTGAATTTGCCACTTTTCCTGCACTCGCAAGTATAATCTCTCCATTTCCTGGATTTTTTATTCTTCCATCAGTAGTATTTCTTTTAGCTACTTTCTGCCATAGCATAAATTGCTCATGCTATTTTAGTAAGATTCACTCCTGCTCTATGCTCACTAGAACGGAAAAAATATATATTATCTGCTTATTTTAGCATCGCATGTCGCTCACAGTATTCATGGTCACAGATAAAACAGTAATAAACTGCCCTTCTCTGTCAAAACTTACGGAGTACAAAGTTGTCATGTCTGATCAGCAAATGATTTGCGCTTCTTTGGCACATATATATCACGGTACAGTATATGATTTTCAAAGTTCTTAATTTTAAATTTTCCTTTTCTGGCATAGCCATGGATATCAACAATCAGTCAAGCAAAGAAATATTCATGGGAGATATACAGGGATCCACAAGAATGTGCACCGTATGGCACTACCCTTTTGTCATTGAGCCACTATCACATTTTGGTCAGCAATCAGTTCAAGCAATTCTCGGCGCCTTTAGTCAGAAGCTGGAATTTACAACTAAACGAACATCAAGCAACAGAAGAAAGGGTGGTGATCTCTTTTTCTTGGCACCAAGATGCCATACAAGCATTGAGACATCGGAAACACACAAGAAGTTTGTATATAAATGATTAGCCTTTTAAGTATATGGCGTTGCTTAAACTATGTTTCTTTTGGCAACACCATATGAAATGGAGAAAGTTTTAGGTTTAGGATAAAATTGTTCTAGATTTTGAGAAAATTGTTACAGATCCATGAGAAAAATGTCCCAACTTTAGGAAATTAACTATCCATATTTTCGGTTATTGGTTAATAAGCTGGCCACAATAGTTTTTTTATTTCTAAGCAAGCTGGTCACAATAGTTAACCCAATATATTCCTGGTCTTTATGTTTCTCAGACTACATATGCCTCACATTAATACCGGACAATAAGTACACCATCGTGTGTGGAGAGCACCTGCAACCGCGGCGGTGGGAATAAAATAGCAAAGCCGCAAACCAAACAATGCACATATCCAGGTTTCTTCCCTCCTTGGCGTCCCTTGCGTCGCCCCCGCCCTGGGCGTCTCGGGGGCCTCCAACCCTAGGCACCGCCGCTGCCCTCTCCTTCTCCCCTCCTCGCGCCGCCGCCGGGTGACGCCGCCGGGTGAAACCCGCGTGGCAGACGGCGGCGGCGGGGGGACTCCCTCTCCCGCCTCCCCTTCTTTCGCGGGCGGCGGATCTAGGCGGCAGGCGGCGGTGTCCTGCGGCGGCAGGCCTCGGCGAGCGGTGGCGGGGCACGGGGCACGCGGTGGCGGCTGTGCGCGGGGCTGACTCCGGGGCGGCGGCGCGGGCTTGGATCCATCGCGGACCTGACCTGTGGGCGCGGCCTCGGCCTCCCCTGCTCGGCCGGCGGGTCTCGGTGGGGGGCTTCCCCGTGCTGAGATCTGCCAAGCGGGATCATCCAGATCCCGGCAAGGACGGCGGCGACCCGTGCACGAGAGATGGAGGTCTTCGATCAGATCTGGGTGAAAACCTGCTATTGGCTATTGCCAAGGCCGGCGATGGTGACACTGTCTGCGCCGTACCCTTCCTGAAGGCATCGTCGTGGAGATGTTCAAGGCCACTCTCTGCTATCTCCGGGGGAAACCCTAAATCAGTAGATCGGATGACGGCGGCTCTCTGGTGTCGTTTTCCCCCATGGGGGCGTCATTCTTGGAGGTGCACACGTACTCGAGGGACTAGAGGACGGCGACTCTGGTGGAGCGGTGCTTCATCTTTCCCATTGAAGGTGGCGGATCTCGGCGGCGTGGTGCTGTTGAGACTCGGCGTCTGATGCGCGGAGATGGACTCGCGCATGAGGAGGTTGCTATCTGGCGTCATGGTGACGTCGATGGCTGAGTGGCCAGACAAGGTAGAAGCCTCAATATGACCTGAAGACGGACTTGTGGAAGATGGCGGCGACGACACACGAGTGTGTCTGACCGGATTGTGTCCCAGACCCGGTACGTGGCTCGGCTGGGGCTTCCGAATATGTTTCGGCTGCCGGCTTTTGATGTTAGGCCTAGGTGAGTGATTTGGGTAGTGGCCCAGCTAGCACCCCTTCATCATTTTGGATAGGAGTAGCGGCATGTGTTGCCAAGATGGTGGATTCAGACACATTGTTGTAATACATTGTAAGGTCCTCGAGAATAATCAATAAAGTGGCTGTATGCATCTCCCAGTTGCAGAGGCCGGGGATCATCCTGCTTTTCTAAAAAAAAAACAATGCACATATTTCTTAGCCATTTTGCAAAGATGGTCTGGCCCAAAGCATAATTCTTGATGTTGAGAATAGTTGATGTGGGTCATAAATCAAACAATTAGTCGTGTAATAGGCTATGCTTACAGGGTGTGATGAATTTTTTTCTCCCGGTGCAACGTACGGGTATTTTTGCTAGTATAATATTTATCTCACAAGAAAACAAAAGGTTGCGATGGTTCAAACCAGGAAAAGTGCGGCTAGGTGGTCCCCGTGTGGTCGGGTAGCGCGGAACGTTTGGGGTGGTGGTAAAAGGCTGGGGTGGGGTGGGAAGGGAGGCTGGGGATCCGGCACCCACCCAGTAGTCTCTTCGTACAGTATATACCAGTGCCACATATTACGTCGTTCCCGAATTCCGTCACTGCATCCGGCACGATGGAGCGGATCGACGCCCTGAAGGCCCGCAGGGGCAAGCTCGCCGACGATCCCTGCCTGAGGCGGCTCCGTAACCGGCGGCTCATCGTCTCCCTCTATCTCCAGGGATTCCAGCCCGCCCACGACTGGTACGCCCGCCCGCCCGCCCGCCGTTCCCTCGTCTCCGTGCCCATCTAACGGACCCCGTGCGAACGCAGGATGCTCCGCGAGACGGATTTGTTCATGAGCGGCCGGCATCTGCAGCAGCTGGTGGCCTGCGGCCAGTGGAGGCAAGCCCTCGACTACATCCGGCGCTTCCTGCCGCCGGCCATAGGGGGCGTCGAGGCCCGCACCCTCTCTCTCTTCCTCCACGCCTTCTGGGCCGTGGACAACGCCGCCGCCTGCTCGATGGGCGCCCCCGTCACCACCGCCGTGTACAACCACGACGTCCGCATCCTGACCACCATGTGCGCTAGCAACGTCAAGCTCTCTTCCATCCTCAACAAGATACACCACTCGCCCAAATTCAGGTACGCACCGCTATCAATTTTCCTACCTACCTGATGTAATATTTTCAAGAGATTGTTCTACGTGATGTTGTCCTTGAGCATCACATTGAATCCTGTCTTGCAGGGCATCCCTGGACTGGAAACTGGTAAGGGAGAAGGCATCGCTGATTGCTGATGACTTGGCGCTTGATTCTCCAGAGTTGAGACGCAGGTTGCTACTGCCCCGCGACTTGCTTCCCATCGGGTATTCATTCATTCAGCCAACCTTGCTGTTTACTTCTTTCTGGCCAGCTTCCCAAATTATCCGGTTTAATTTTTCCCAAATGCTAATAACTTAATTAACCGGTTTAATATATACTCCCTCTGTTCCTAAATATAAGTCTTTTTAAAGATTCCAATGTGGACTACATACGGTGCGAAATGAGTGAATCTACACTCTAAGATAGGATTATATACATCCGTATGTAGTCTTTATTGAAATCTCTAAAAAGACTTATATTTAGGAACGGAGGGAGTATATATTTGTCCAAGTTGTACTATCTATTGACTGTATGTCAATGATCTGATCATCCCATAATGATCTTTTAATTTGCTAGTCCCTGTCATCGAAGGCACCACTTGAAGAAACAAGCCCTGCGGCCAGCATCATCTGCTATTGCCAAGTGGTATCTCAACAGGAAGAAGAGGTATGCACATATGTGCAGCTACATTAATTATCATGATATGAAGTCTCCCCTATTTTTCACATGATATTCACACATATTCCTTGCCTTTTGCAGCCTGCCTTCTTTAACCCCAGTTATCGGTATGAACATCTTGGCATGAAAGCAACCTTGCTCTCTTAACCTCTGCATATGTCTGGCAGCTAATGTTCGCTATGTTTGTAATGACAGGTTTGAACTCTGAGGGACAAAACCGGGTGGTGGATCTTATTGGTAATTAAAACTAGTCTCTGACCATCTGTTTCCAGTTTGTAAAGAACATATCTGATGATATACATTTTTCTGCTGTTCCTTTGTTTCTGAAACTCACTTCGATTATGTGCTGATAAACTCACGTGATAATATTTAGAGGAGTGTTTAAAAGCTGGTACAGTTATGGAGCTCGATCAAGGGCACCTACTTCAGTCAAGTGCGATGGCAGGTAATTAATTCACAGTTGTGACCAGCTTTCCATCTCTCCTTCCATTTGAACTTCAGTCGCACTTTTCATATGGGTTTTTGGGATGCCCCGTCCCACTTTGATTCCTTATATCTCTCTTGATTTACTAGTAGTTTGCCGCACTTCCATCTTTGTTACAGACCACTTAGCTGCTCTTACTGGACGGATTTTATCAAATTGCTCGGCTAGGTTTATGATTGGGTTATTCCATCGATGTGGCTCATACACCATGTAGTACTTCTCATGCTACA